ATTTGTATGTAACCTACTCACCTTCTTCTCTATACTTTTACATTTTCTCTAGATTATTTATGGTACCTAACATAATGCAAATGCTATATAAATAATGGTTATACTATATTATTTACAATGATGGCAAAAAAATTTACATGTTCAGTATATAGCTGCAATTTTTTTTTTAATGTTTTTGAACTATAGTTGGCTGAATTCATGGATGCAGTTATGGTAGGCTGGGCATTATATATATCATACTGTTGATTGATAGACCCCCAAATACACTGGTATTCATGTTTTACAAGGAAAGTTTTATTTATTGTGATATTCCCACGTTTGCCCAAACAAACCCCTTCACCCAAAGTCCTCTAAGGGCCAGACCTAACATTTGGGCAAAAGAGGAAAAAGCAGCCCCTTAAGATTTTCTCAAGGAAGCCATAATATTTTAGCATAATCTTTTAGCAGGTATGATCAACTAATAATGAGTAGCTGATGCAATTCTAAAATATACTCAGGAGAATATAAACGCTTCCATAACATCCATTTGTATCAGTACCATATTTGAGGGCACATTTAAAAAATCCATAATTATTTTAAGTACAAAATTATATTTCTTTTGATTCAACTGAGTCATACTGATTGTGAAACAGTCATCAGAAATTACAGTTCTTTAAAATACTGGAATTTGTTAAAACATACATGGACAAAAAATCAGTTTTATAACTCATACCAAAAAAAAAAAATCAAGAACTTTTAAAAATATAATTTGCAGGCCAAAGATATAGCTCAGCAGCACAAGTACCTGCCTGGCAAATGTGAAGTCCTGAGTTCAATCCATGGTACCAATAAATAAATAAATAAATAAAATAAAAATATAATTTGTTTGAGTAAAATGAGTATTACTCTTATTTAATCAACTTTTTTATAAGATTGCTCAAAATTAATTTTATATAATCAAATCTACCCTTGTCCTTTTTTTTTTTTTAAATAAGTATGAAGTTACTAGGACTGAGAGCTCCAAATTGCAGAGAATGAAATCTGCATGGTGGTATTCAAAGCCTTTATGGGGTAGTAAGTGGATATTAAAGTCCTACTGATTCATGAATGCTAATGAATGGCTGGCAGAATACATGTCTTCCTATCTACGAGCTTCTCAGAACCAAAGTCTTACACTTTAGTCCCCGCTAGGCATCAGGTATTATGCTTTCATTCATTTGCACCCAATTTTAGGTGCATAACATTTTAAGACGTCTGGGGTAACAGAGTTCAGCAAGAGAAATCTTCCAGGCATCACAGGTTATCCTACGTTTGAAGAACAAATCTGTATCTATTAAACTGAGCTTCACTCCCTGCTGTAGAGTACAGATACCTTCAAAAAGAACACACATCATCTAGAAACCGTCTAGAAACTTGAGCTGGAACCTGGGATGATTAGCCTAAATGTTTGCCTTAACTGGGAATGGAGAAGGCATGGGAGGCTTTTTACGCTTAATCTTGCTTCATTCTAACAGTTACCAACAAGACAAATTTAGAATTTACACAGCAGTACAAATATCGAAACTATTCAGTAATAAGATTTATGTACAGCAATGAATTTTGTATAGTGTACTATAAATATTTGTTACACTGCCCCACCAAAAACAAAAACAAAAAACCACTTCGTAACTTGCTAAATATTTGAGTATAAGAACAACATAGTAAGAAACAGAGCACAGGCCACAAAAATGGGACAGAGCAGGAGGGGAAACTCCCTAAATACAGTATGCTGTCTTACTGTTTTCTTACAATTTTATACTCCCTCTTATTTCTTTCTTTTTTTTTTTTTTTTTTTGGTCTTTATCCTTTTTATCAGTACTGGGGATCGAACTCACAACTGTCTGCCTGCTTGCAAGGCAGGCGCTTATGCCGCTGAGCTAAATCCCCAGGCCCTCCCTCTTATTTCTGATACATTAATTTTCAACTACAAGGATACTTGAACTTGCTACTCTGAATACTCCTATTTGAGATTTTTTTTTGATAGCTGAGTCAGAAAAATTATCTTCTCTCAGGTCACTTAGGCCTAGTAACTTTCTTAAATGGTTCCAAATATTTTTATATATATCTCTGTATATCTCACACTACTTATGGTATGCTTTTAGGTTGCTGCACATAAAATCTCCATAATATAAGACATTTTAAATCCCTAATTAGAATAAAAATAAGAGTAAGCAAAACAAAACTGTAGAAAAGAAACAAAGCTTATTAATTCGGATTATAATAAAGTAGTTTTTCTTTTATCCCTGAACAATGCAAACTCTGAATATATCCAAATATTTTGGAACCAAATTTTACATATCAGCTTAAGAACATAGGTCCCAATGTTTCAGAACATAGGTTTTTCTATGTCAGGTACCATCCTAGAGCTCCCCAGGAAGACCCAATGCTAACTCCCAGGTTGTACATCATATACTGATTCACATTACTTATAAGATTATATGCTAGGAGTTTTCCCATATGCAAAGGGCAATTCTAATCCATGCTTTTATAAATTATGGCAAATAAGGTACACTAATACAGTACTGGAATGAAAGGATATTGGATTTGTGAATATAGAGGAAAATTATAAATACATTATCCTTTGACCTGAATTTTCTACTTTTAGGAGTCTATCCTGAAGATAAACTTGAAAATCTATGAAATTTTACCACACAATTTATTGCAGCACTATTGATAAAAGCAAATCTTAAAAATCAACCTGGATCACTGGGGAACTGGTTACGTAAATTGTAAAATTTCCATCAATGAAACGGCAAGCAGCCTTAAAAAGAAGAGGAGAGGAGGGGAGAACTCTTCTGTGCGTCTTTTTTCCTTTTTATCAGTACCAGGGATCGAACTCACGACTGCCTGCTTGCAAGGCAGGTGCTTATGCCACTGAGCTAAATCCCCAGCCCCTTGAGGGGAGAACTCTTTGCTCTGGGTGGGAGAATAAAAAAGAACACCTCCAAGATATAGTAAATGCAAAAGCAAAAAGCACAACGTATGTAAGAGCTTGTAGTATGTATAATACAGGGTAGGATGGAATATATACATATATACAGTACGTGAAAGGATAATATAACATCTCTAAAAGGACATATCCCAAACGTTACCCGGGAAATGAGATTAGGTGTGCACACAACACAAGAAGGAAATGGATGACTATGATTTTTAAAATTTTGTAAATTTTCAGGCATGGTAGCAGACACCTGTAATCCCAGCACTCAGGGCTTTTTTTGTTTGCATGTTTGTTTTGTCTTCTTGAAACAGGGTTTCACAATGCAGTTCAGGCTATCCTTGAACTGACTTTATACTCTGGTCTAGCCTCCAACTCCTGGCAATCCTCCTGCCTCAGCCTCGTCAGTGCTGGGATTAAACCACTGGTTTGAGGCCAGCCCAAGGTATATAGATAGTAAGCTTAAGGCCAGCCTGAACAACATAGAGAAATCTTGTCTCAAAAACTGAAATAAACATATATGTGAAATTTTGTAAATGTGATACTTGGTTAAATATTAAACGAATAGGTATCTTTCTTTTTTTTTTTTTTTCCATTGATACCTGGGATCGAACTCATGACCACACGATTGCAACCTCAGGTACATATGCCACTGAGCTAAATTCCCAGCCCCACGAATAGGTAGCTTATACAAAACAATACAGAAAGTATTTTAGGGTTCATACATTGAGACATACTATAACCTCAGACAATTATACTTTAATTAAAACCTACAAATTAGTACAACAGCTTTTGCTACACTTTCTATTCAAACCCAGGTTCATCCCTAAATTTATCATGTCACAGAATACAAAAATAGGAGTCTTTGAAAACTCTTTGGCCAGGAGTGGTGGGGCACACCTATAATCCCAGCACTCAGAAGGCTGAGGCAGGACTGCTGTGAGTTCAAAAGCCACCCGTACTGCATAAGCAAGACCCTGTTTCAGAAAAAATAAAAAAATAAAAAAAAACAGAAAAAGAAAGAAAAATCTTTAGTCTCAATTTACAGATTAAAAAAAAAAAAATGGCCCAAAGAGGCTAAAAAACTTCACCAAAAGGATAAAATTAGCAGGTGCAAAGTAAACCTAGAACTTGACTCAAATTCAATTCTTATGTTTCTTTTACCTTCAAATGATGTCCTAATTACCACAAGGGGTGAGGAAGTGTCACCTACAATCCAGTTTGCATTCTGGACAACATGAATGGCAGGGCTAGTATGAGCTGATAGCCCATCTCTAAAAGACACTTCTCAAAGCTCACAAAGGAACCAAAAGGGATACATATAATTATATGTGGTTTTGCTTCTCAGCTGGATTATGTTTTAGCAAAGTGCGAAGAGCAGTTAAAGCCGTCAGATAAACAAGGCATGTGAGTGAGGCTTTCTACAGCACTGATATATTTTAAAAATATGAAAAAACATTAAACAACTTAACCAGGTAATTAAAATTATTTTTATATTAAAACAAAACATATTATAGCACAGAATACAGAACATAAATGAACATTTAAGGTACATAAAGTACACAGAAGTTTCTGGATGAATCTAAGTCCTATCAGGGGGCCTTGAAGGACACTTTTTGCAACTCGTAAGAGCCAGGAAAGGTTGTGAAAACTACAGCAGGGGAATTAAGGATTAGATGTGAATTAGAAACAGTTGAGCTTGGATATGGTGCCTACTTGTGGCACTGAGTCACCATAAATCACTAACTTGTGCTCAGAGCCTTGTTTCCTGTCTGTAAAATGTGGTCAGGGTTACTTTCTGTTCCGTTCAATTCTGTTACAAGAATTGTAGGTGATTACACTAAACTAACTGCCTGGCTCTAGAGGCACTGAAATGAACTCTGACTGTCACAAAGCTATCGGACTATCTGCCTGTCTGACCTCTCACTTGGCTTCAGTTTGTGAGAACACAGGCAATGGGCAGTGACAAGCCCTTCCCAGCAGCACCCATAGAAAGGAAATACATGAGGATAAAATCACTTAGGTGAACACTGCTCATTATACTCACATATTTCATTTCAAACTTCTTGGCCAACATTTCCACTTCTTGCCTCTCCTGATGCTCATCATTGAACGGGTCTTCTGTATGAAAGAATTTTTTCTGATTCAGAGTGAAGGGGAGAAGAAACAAAAGTATTAGTATTACTTCAACTGTTTTTATCGGTATATGCTAATATCTTCAATTACACTGTAATAATTGAATATTATAAATAGTAATACAGCAAATGTGTGTTCAATAAATCATTACATAATTCTTCAATTACATTGTTATTCAGAGTTGAATACACCCTTCATCAATAATGACAGTTTTTCCTGCCAGACATGGTAGTGCACACCTGTAATCCTAACACTTACTTGGGAGGTTGAAGCAGGAGGATTGCTGTGAGCTCAAGGCCAGGCTGGACTACAATAGTGAGTTTAAGGGCAGCCTAAACTCCATAGCAAGACTCTATCTCAAAAAAAATTCCCCAATACTAACAAGCTACAAGAATTAAAAGTAACTAAAAGGAATGCTGGTTTACATCAAGAATATTTGCAGTTTTAATAGCCTTATACATGGTCCATAGTTGTTTTACAGCCAAGAATTCAATTCAAATTGACTCCACCTGCAAAATAATCACATGATTGCCTCATCTAAAATAACAAAGAAAAAATACAATGAGTATTAGATAAAAACAAACATGCATGTGACGTTAGTTTGACATCTTCCCTAACGAAGATTAACTGTTCTGGTTAGGAAATGTCTCTAAAAGGATTTTAAGATTATTAATCTGAATCAACCTTATCTTCCTATAAGTTATCACTGAGTATCTTCAGCTGCCCTGATTCTGCTGAGACCAGAACCAACACTTCATATCAGCAGTCTGCTGTCAACGGAGGCCTTTTTCAGGCAATATGCACTATTTCTAACTAAACACAGGTTACAGAGTAAAGAGCTGCAGAAAGATTACATTAACATGGCTTCCTTCTAGCAGAGGAGAGCAAAAGTTTACTGTAAAACATTGTTTAAGACAAACACACACACAGTAAGCTAGGGTCTTACTTTTATAATCTACTTGGCAAAACAAAAATGTCACATCCTCTACTCAAGCCTATTTTACAGACACATTTCAATAAACAAAAGCAAAAATAGGAAGCTATCTTTTCTTTTTTCTTGAGACAGTGTTTTGCTATGTGGTTTAGGCTGGCCTTGAGTGCACTATGTAACCCAAGCTGGACTTGAATTCTAGGCAATCCTCATGTCTTGGTTACTTTTTCTCTTGTTGTTCAGACAAATACCTAAGGCCCAAAATTAGGAAAAGGAAGGCTTATTCCTTACAATTTTGGAAGTTTCAGTTCATATTCAGTTGGCTTCAAGGCACGGTAGCATGGTGGGGCCACCATTCATGGTCCCCCAAAACAGCAAGAGCAAATTGTGCAAAAAAGAAAACACATGCCTGCTTCCTGCCCTCACACTGTATGTCATCTCCACCCCTGGGCAGGTGCAACACTCCAATCCCAGCCCTAGACAATAAACCAATTGCAAACATTAGATTCAGCCATGTCCATGACTGCATGAGGCTTGGGGTGGAGGGGCATCCAAACATATAATCTATAACACCTCCTGCTTCAGTATCCCCCATGCTGGGCTACAGGTGTGTGCCATTATGCCCAGGTTGGCACACTTAAAAAAATTTTTTTCAAATCCAATTTAAAACAACTGACTTGAAAGGAAAAAAAATTTTTAAAGGAAGGTTAACATCTTATATGACTAAAAATGGAAATTGAAATACTGGATCATTTGGCTGTCCCTGAAGGGTAAGAAAAATATGCTGAAGAGACAAAAATGTACACACTTTGGAACTGAGACAGTGCATCCTAGATTTAGGCTGAGATGTGATCAGTTTAAAACACATGCTAGGAAGATATGATCAGAATGATCAGAACAAATACAAAACATTACAACACAGGAGTATTTCTGTAGGCTTAAAGGAATTGATTTTAGAATCTTGCAAACTGTAATAAATAATAAACAAAATTACAGAATTCCTTATCCCAAAATGAATTCTTGGTAGAAAATATTAATATGATCCAAAAGGAAAGAAACTAGTTAGAACAGAATGGTAAGGACACCAGGAACAATGGGCATATTTAGGTGCTGTCCAGCATAAACTTGAAGTTAAAGTTTAAGAAGACTGAGCGGTCACCATGGGCTCTAATTAACTGCTCCCTCCACCCTATGAAGCTTGAGTGTAAGTCTGATCACCAGTCTGACCCACTTCATGTGCACACATATAAACACATGGATTTGTATTTTTAATGACATCACCTTTAATGTCATTCTAAAGTACTTCAAGTACCTTGTCCAGGCATCAAAAGTACACCTCTTATTTACTCTTACCGGTTATAATAAATTTAAAGAAATGCATTCATTTTTCTTTCATACCTAAGAACAACTTCCCTCTCCTCTTCAAAACCAAACAGGCATACGTTTTTTTTCAGGAGAAACAAAAAATATGAAAACTACTAACTACCCATATGCAAAACTGATGCAATAATTTTGCCCTCTGCTCTGAACTCATTAATGCCAATTTTAGATTTTTCATGTATCTTATCTAAAATATGTGATATGGAAGCCAGGCGCGGTGGCACACACCTGCTACTTCATTTGAGCTCAGCGAGGGCATCTCGGTAACTTGGAGACACTTTGTCCCAAAATAAAATAAAATTAAAAAGGCCTGTAGCTGTAGCTCAGTGTGAAGATCCAGTGTCAATTCCTAGTACCATGAAAAAAAGATAAAGCAATATGACAAGTAATGAAATACCACAGAATTGTGAGGGCCGGGGTACAGTTCAGTGGCACAATGTGTACTGGCAAGTGTGAGGCTGTGAGTTTGATCCCCAGTGCTTAAAAAAAAAATCCACAGAATTCTGAAACAGGATAGTTATACTAACACTTAAGTCACTTTATTTTTCTCAGAATTTCCATTAAGTTTTCAAGTTATGATGCTCGCAAATAGGTACTCTGGTAAACTGATTTTTTGTTTACTAAAAGTTAAAAAGTGTTTTTTTTTTCTTATGTATAAATAACTGGCAAAATTTATTTCTAAAACATACTGCTACCCTCTACCAAGAAACAGCGAGCAGAGGAATTTCTCAGGGCAAAATGAGTCCAATGGCCCAGGCACCACCCTGAGCAGCCTTGATTATAGCACAGGGCTGCAAGAGAGCACAAGGTCAGGGCCCAGCTTGGCTGTATCCTGACAGCTTGGAAGGTGGCTTTACTCTTTATATTCTGTCAATGTGTGCTCATTTCATTATGTTTTTCCTCATTAATAAAAACAGAAGATTGAAAAATTCTCATTGTACTTCAGTTAATTGGGTTTTACGGTTCATGAAGATCTTACAAAAAGGGTTGATTTAATACACCTCAATATAGATGGCACCCACACATAACACATTTTGTACATCCCTGCACCTATCACATTTAGGATATTAGAACTACAGTTCTATTTAGTGGTAAATGGTACTTCAATATTTAAATTTCTTTTTCCCTTTTTTTATTCAGCCTGCTATAATATACGCTGTTCAAGGGCTGGACAAGCTCAGAGACATAAGTGCTTGCCTTGCAAGTGGGAATTTGTGAGTTCAATCCATGGTACCAGAAAAAAAAAAAAAAAGATACACTGTTCAATTGCACTAACTCAAAATTACAACTGTTTGAAAAATATTACATCTCTAAAAATAAATGGACTCTCCCCAGAATGAGAATAGGATAGACCAACTGAGGAATCACATTTCAGATTAATTTTAATGTTCATATTTTACTTCTGATGATCTCATTTCTAGAATTTCCTTTCATGGAACTAAGATAATTTTACTTAAACAGATGTTTTCTATACTTCCTTGTGTAATAAATATATTAACTGGCATTAATAATAGGAAATAACTGGGTATGCACTTGCATGCCTATAATCCCAAAACTCAGGAGGCTGAGGCAGGAGGACTGCCGAAAATTCAAGGCCAGCCTAGGCTACATAGTAAGCTTACAGCCGATCTGAACTACAGAGTGAGACTGTGTCTCAAAATACAAACAAACCCCCTCAAAACAAACAAATAAAAAACATGGGAAATAAAGCAAATCTTTGAAACAAAAGTACAGTGTATAAACAACAGAACAAAATTTTTTTTGGAGTTATATGACAAAAGATGTGGCTCAGCTGGCTGTGGTTGTTAGTACACGGTTATAATCCTAGCATTCAGAGGTTGAAGCAGGAGGATCCCAATTTCAAGCCCAGCCTGGAATGAAATATTGTTTATTTTGTTTTTTAAAAAGATACATGGTTGAGCCAGGCATGGTGGCACATGCCTATAATCCCAGCATTAGGGGGGTTGAGACAGAAGGATTGCTGCAAGTTTGTGGCCAGCCTAGGCTTCAGAGAGTTGAAGGCCAAACCCTATCTCAAAAACAAACAAACAAGATTGATTAGAAAAAAAATGAATAAATCCCTTGATAGTATGTATAAACAACCAAAAAAAAAACAATTAATTTTTCGGTTAGAACGTGTCATACTCCACATAATGTTTCAGTCAACAACAGATCACAATATCCAATAGCATCTGCTACATAGCCTCAGGGTATAGTAGGCTATACCACCTAAATTACTGTAGGTTACATCCTGTGACACACTTGGTTAAAACACTTTTCTTAAAGCATTCTGTCATTAAGTACCTCTTGACTTTAGTAGTTCTGGTATCAAGTTAACAAAGTTAGGGCATTCAAATGAACTTCCTTCCTGAAATTTTCCCGTAACTAAGAGATACACATCTATTATAAATTTATCATGACATGAACATTACAGAATAAAGATTTTTAACAAGGTTTTGGTACTTCTACTACCTCTATCTTCATTTTTGCAGAATTCTCTGCATTTAAACTGCATTTAACTGCAAGACATTTGGCTTCACTCAGCACTGTTACTACAATGGAAAGTAGTACTAGTAAAATTAAGTATAAGCACTTTGTGTTTCAGCCTCATTTGCAAAATGGGGATAACAGTTTACCTCAAAGTTTTGCCGGACTAGATAAACCATGTATACTGCTTAGAACTGTGTCTATCCCATACAACGCAGTAAATAATAGCTGGTATTCTTTTTTCTATTTAAAGATAATGTTTTTCATTTGTAATTTATGAAAATTACAAAAATTGCACGCCCATTTAGATTAGCAAGTCAAATATCATTTAATTGAAAAATGCTCCAATTCAGTATTTTCAATATTGTTTTGGGGGGAAAATTACATAGCATAGGATTAAGAGGGCACTAAAGTGAGTCTACACAAGAAAATGTTATCCAACAGGGACCAAAATAGTCTACCCTTACCAATTCATTTTGGCTGAAAACATTCTATAATGATCTGACCACACACAGTATTTGTAACTAATGATCAAAAGATTAGCTGGTTACAAATAAACGTGTAGTAACATTGTTTAACATGACGCTTTTTGACTAAAGGGTCATTTAAACTATAAACTAGTTGAGGATGAAAACACAACAATCTTCTTCTGGAGTCAGTAGGATCTAGCATGCTAAATCAAGGCCTAAGAACGAGCATAATAGCTAAAGAGAACAATGTTGCCTTATTTTTCACTGTTACTGTTATCATCTCTAACTCATTTCCAAATATCAACCCACAGCAACAAAAATTTCAATTACAATATAAAAAAGACAAAACTCCTATCCTAATCCCCATTGTTCACGAGTGCCATCCAAGGCATAATTACGTATTTTCGATAAAGTTTGTAAAAAATCAAAGGGAAGGGTTTTATTCACCATCACTTTCCAAAAATTACAATATCTTCAAATTTGGACGTATAAAACTAATGATCTACACTCAAGCATATGATGTGTAGGCGCCAAATAGAGCAGAAGAGACACCTTCCCATTCAACAATATAAAAAAACTACACACACACAAGCACAAAAACAATGCTAAAAAACGTTTACCAATACCAACACCGGAGCGAAAATAACCAGATAACAAATCCACTTCTCCGCTCCTAAACTGGTCTAATTACTTTTAAAATTTCCGTGAATTAAGGAGAGTAAAAACCCAGCACCAAGCCCATCTCAGCAGCCCAGACGCCCCGCACAACAGTGACGAGGAGGAGCTGGAACGCGAGGGGCGCAGCGATCTCTACTTCAGTCCGGGGGGCGTGTCCCCCACGGTTTTCGCTTCCTTTCACCTGAAACGACAGCGGCAGCGCCACCAGGAGCACCCAGCCACAAGGCCCAGGGGCCCCAAGACATTGTGTGGAGGACAGAAAGGAAAGGAGGATCTGAGGTTTCCAAAGGTGTAGAGGGAAAGGCTCGGCGCGGGGTCGGACTGGGATCGGCCGCCCCGGGCGCAGAGCCGCACCGCTCCCGAGCCTGGCCCCCCACCCCACCCCACCCCACCCGCCTGCTGGGTGACCGGGACGCCCGCCGTGCCAACCGGCCGGGGAGGCGGCGGGTCCGGAGGTGCCCGGGCGCGGAGCGGCAGGGAGGGCCCCTGTGTACCCGTTGTTCTCCGCACAGCAGCAGCTCCGGGTAGCTGAACTCCACGCAGCTCTCGTCCGTGGGGTCCTTGAGCACCAGCTCCAAGCGCACCGTCTCCTTGGGTGCCCGTGGCGGACGCTCGGCCTGGGTACCGGGGTTCCGCGACGGCGGTGGCGGAGGCGGCGGCGGCAGGGGCACTGGCAGCGGCGGCGGCGGCGGCGGCTCCGGCCGCGGGGGCTCGCGCTGCAGCGCCATGGGCGGCTCGGCGCGGCCGGCCTCGCGCGGGGGCAGTGGCTTCTCCCGCGGCGGGGGCTGCGCGTCGGGCCGGGGGGCCGACGGCTCCGCCCGGGCCGGCTCGCGGTACGGCTGCGGCTCCAGCCGGGGGGGATCGCGGTGGTACTCGGGCTCGCGCTCGGCGCCCGGGAAGTCGGCCTCACGACGCCTCACCGGTGACAAGCTAATGAACGCTACTCGGCGCGGCTCCGCCATCCCCACTGTTCTGGCCCTTGGCTTGCTCTCAAGCCGGCACTCTCTTCTACGTCGCGCCGCGTGCCTGCCTGCCCTTCCTTTTGCACTCCGTCGCTTTTCTGCCCTCCACCGCCCTCAGCCGTCTCCGCCGACGCCACCGTGAGTGCCGACCGTGTCCCTTTCCCCGCTACTATGTTCTGATGGGCTCCACCGCCATCGTCAGGGTCGCCACGGCCGCCATGTTGGATCCCCCACATAAATAGAAGCAGGCCGCCAAGCGGGCGCATGCGCACAGAGGAGACGCTCGCGTCCACTGTCGTGGCTGTTGCTCCTTTTCCCCAACAGTCTGGAGTCCAGACAGGCCGGCGGAAGTGACGTCACGGAACCTAGCTGTTTCCTTGGAAACAGAGACGCCGTCTGAGTCTTTGCTCCGAGGGAGGGGTCTAGGATTTCCCAAGAAGCTTCCAAGTAGCACCCGGAAACCGAGGCGCGCTTGAGATTCTCTGTGCTCCAGCGCCGGGCGTGCCCGGGACCGACCGAGCCATGGCGCCGGGTCCCACCCGACACCGGCCTTCCGCCCTCGGTAAGAGGTAGGGTTGTCAGCTGAGTGTATCTGGCGGACGTCGGGAAAAGCGTCGCTGTGCTTGCGCCTGGTACCCTTGCAGCTTAAGTAGTGCAGAGGAAGAGAGGAGGCAATCTCCGGCCACCCTCGCCCCCGAGCCTTTCCTCCTGACGGAAGCTCCCAGTCCTGGACCTACTCCTGCCTGCCCCGCCCGGCTGCTGTGGGCACCGTAGTGAAACACTCAACAGCGCTGTACAACCGGAAAACTACGAAGTGCTGAAATCAACAAAATTCAAATTTGTGAGGGTGTGGTGGTATTTTAGTGGACATACTTGGTGGAAGAATGCAAAGTGACCCATTGCAGGGTAGGGAGGAGCCTCGATCGGCCACACCTGTGGTAAAATGATTAGAATTCAGATTTTAAAGATTGAGAATTTAATTCATTCAATAGAAAGTAGTTTTTAGGGCTCACCCTCCACATCCTCAGTGGAACCCAAGCTAGATAAACAATCAAGGACATTTATTGTGACTTTGTAGACATTCTGAGGTTCAATATTTTACTCTTTTTTTTTTTTTTTTTTTTGGTCTTTTTCGGTACCAGGGATCGAACTCACCACCGCACACTTGCAAGGCAGGTGCTTATGCCGCTGAGCTAAATCCCCAGCCCACCCATGCCTCCAGTTCTGATTAGGCTCTCACTTTTGGACCTCTTAGAAGCATTTAAGTGACAGAAACGCCCACAGATTCTACCCCTGCCCGTCTTGCAGTGCAGCCAACTTACTGTTACTAAAATATGTTTCATTATGTCGTTCTCTATCGCTATAGTTTACCTAAAACGTAAGATTTTTTTTAGCTAAATTCATATTCAATATCCTCTGTAATTTAGCCTACGGGCTATGGTCCTTGAGTCAGACTGTTTTGCCAGTGTGTTACTTAGCCAACATTGTCTTTTGCTAATTTCTAATCACTGAAGTGTTTTCTGACCACAATTCACAATGACAAATAGATTTTACATTGTAACCCAGTGTACACATATATACATACAGATACAGTATCTGAAATACAAGCATCACAATATTTTCCTTTTTTGTGTATGATAGAGTAAAAACAATACGAAAACATTTTATACTACCATGTAGAAAGAAATCTTAGTGTAAATGATACAGAAGCAAATTAGGAAAAGTTTTAGTTAATGCATGATGCTAGGTTTCTTCCATAACAGAAGATGTGAAGACCTGCTGTTAGAGTATTCTGGCACAATAGAGAAGCAAAAGTACAAAATGAACAGGTTTATTGAGTTGAGGACATGAAAAGGAGTACACAACCCATGGCGGCTGGGCTGTCTCCTTTGACCAGATATAGAGAGGCAGAGGGTTATATGACCTCTGATTGGAAGTGGCGCATGGGGCAGATATTGATGACATGTGAGGAACCCATTGGAATTCTCTGTGCATGCAAACAGGAAGAGGAGTTTCAATTAGGGCTGAAGAAGGAAGAAGTGGTAAGCATTCCCACTTTGGCCTTCTGCCATGTTAGACCAGCACTATAACTGTACAGTAATTTATACCAGGGCAAGAACCTTTCATTTTCATTTTTGTATTGTTAGGAAAAGGATGAAGTCTCTCTCTTACTACTCCCTGCTGAAAGGGGGCCCTGTATTGGGGTTTAGGAAGGATGACAGTTGATGCCCATGTAGAAGCTGGCACCAGGTGTTTTAGCCAGGACAACTTTATCATTGGTGAATGCCCACATCCTAGATTGGAGAAACAAAGAGACACGGTGCTATGAGGAGGCAGGCCACTATCATAATTAAAGGACCCAGGAAGGGTAGAAGGAAAAGTGCCCTTAATCCAAATGTGTCATTCCATCAGGGCCGTGATGAGGAAGAATCTGAAAAATAAGCATGGAGTTGGGAGGGGTGGAGTTATGAGAGGTAATTATTCCCCCATCTGAAAGGGTAAAAGTTAAAAGTGCAGGTGGGACTTGTCCTTGTTTTAGGAGTTGAGTTGGAAAGAATAAGAAGCATGAGAAATATAAAGCCTGCTGATTGAATCATGTTTGGGAAATTATAGAGTAGGGGTGGAGAGGGCCGTGGTTGTGTCACTATAAGTGTCATGAGATCTTAGACCTACAGGAGTCTCAAGTTTAACTAAGCAGCTGAGGGTGGAGAGAACTAAGATAGTTACAGTGAAAAAATTAACTAATAGAATGTAAGGGATCAGGAACCAAATAGGATAACAAAACATGACCTAGCCTGAAAACTGTGGCTGTGGGGCCTTGGTAAGATGGAAGTGGGAGATAAGAGAATGAGAAGACCACTCAGAATGTTTAGAGTCAGAGGAGTTAGGGTTAGGAGGGCACTGCTTAGCTTGAGTGACGTGGAACCAGGATGGTAGTCCAGCAACCTTGACCACCATTGAAGTTTTAAGGAAGACCACATAGCGGCCACTCCATTTTAGTTGTAGACCTGTTAAGAGATCTGAGAAATAAAGGCTGGGCCATTATCCGACTCAGTACTCTAAGACAGACCAAGTGTTGGAATGATTTTTTGTAATGAGACTTTAGTAACTATATCAGCAGTCTCTTTGGTTGTGGGGAAGGCTTTTATGTATCCTGAAAAAGTACAAACACTGATGAGAAGATATTTGAGAGTTTTTTTTTTTTTGTATTTAGATACAATGGAAGATATTTGAGAGTTTTGTGGCAGGGTATATGTGTAAAATTTACCTGTCAGTTATAACCAGGGGTGTGCCCACGAAATTGATGGGTAGAAAAGAAAAGGAGTGGTATGTGTCCCTGAGGAGACGGTCTTATATGGAGATAACAGGTGTAAGTTGTTGAGACCTGAGGGTGTCTGGGTCAGTCTACATAAACACAAAGGAATCCTGACAATCAGGATGGGGGGCGAGTAAAAAAAAGGCATCTTTAAGGTCTAGGACTATGAGGTGAGTGGTGAAGGAGGGATATGAGAGAACATAGTACAAGAGTTTGGCACCATTGGGTGAATCGGGGTAACAGCATCCATCATTTATTACCCAGAGGTTTTGTATCAGATTATAAGACCTATTAGGCTTGACTACCAGGAGAATGGGAGTATTGTAGGGTGAATGGGTAAGTTCAAGAAAATTGTTGTCTAAAAGACAGTTGATTATAGGTTTAAGTCCCTGTAAATGTTTGGGAGCTATAGGATATTGGGGAATGCAAGAAAAAAATTGAAGTTGAAAAGAATAAGAAGCATGAGAAATGTAAGGCCTGATGATTGAATCATGTTTGGGAAATTATAGAGTAGGGATGGGGAAGGCCGAGACAAATTAAAATAGGCATGGCATGGGTAGCATGGGTGGAGTTGGAGGTGTCTCAAGCTAGGGGATCAACCAGAGAAGAAGGGAGGAGCAGGGATGACTTTGCAGTGCAAGTGGGGATGTTTGGAGGACTAGAGCTGTGGGGAGGGAGAAGGTAAAGGAGAAGTTAAGCTTTGGAAGGAGATCTCTACCTAAAAGGGGTGTGGGATGCTGGAATTACTCGAAAGCTATCGGTAAAGAAGAGAGTCTGGAATCTTCATGGAATAGGCCCTTTTTGTAGGGGGCTCTGTAGGTTGGCTGTCAACACCCACTATAGAGACTGAGGACTTAATACGAGGGTCTGAAAACTCAGGAAGAATACTATATATGGCCTCCATGTCTACAAGTACAGAGAATGTCTTACATGAGACCTCCAGTGGGACTTGGGGCTCTGAGGGACACCTTAGTGGGGGCTATGAACCCTGAGCCCCATCAGTCTTCAGCAGCAAGTCCAAGTAGATCAGCCAGTGATGAATGCAGTGGTGACGAGATCTGTTAGGGCCAGGATTTGGACAATGGCCTACCCGCTCTCTGGCAGCTAGGACAGTCACTCTTCCAGTGGCCCTTGAGATTATAGAAGGGGCATTCTCTTACCCAGCATCTTTTTTGTGACACCCTTGAAGCATGGTCCAGGAAGGTCTCGGGCAGCTCCACCTTCGCTCTGTTTACCTGTCTTAGAGCTCTAAGTGTCACTGCTAAAAGAGCAGATTGTTATTTTTCCTTTTGATTTTTATCTTTGTTTTTGAAAACATAAAAAACCATATTAAGAAGGTCTCCCTGTGAGGTTTGAGGGCCAAGGTTAGCCTTTTGTCTTGGGATCTGGCCCACAGAAGGAGATGTCTGTCTCCTCCACAGTCACAAGACATCTGGTTCTCTGTGCTGGCTATTTTGAGGCCCCAGCCCTGTCTGGTTGCCTATAATATTTTTAACTGACTTAGCTGCCTGTTGCATTTTTCCTCTGAAGAAGTAACCCAAACTGCCATGAGGGATAATGGGTGGTGACCAATCTGGCTTCTTCAGGATGAAGGGGGTTGAAGTCATTAAACTGCAGTCAGGGATACTCAAGAGAGCTTTTAACTAGTGGCCCTCAGTAGATAGCAGGCATTTTCATCTTGGATAAATGTACAGCTTTAAGTCTAAAGGAGACAATGACAAAGAATGAAGTATGCAGAAGTCAAATAATTAGAATCAACAGATATTTATGAATATAATTTTAATAATGGCTTCCCATAAGGAGGATAAGGATAAGGTTCAGGGAATTTTAGAAACTGACATGTCATTCATTTATCATACACACATTTAGATTTTACAATTGTTTAAGTACCTCCTGTGCTGTTAGAATGTCTAATGCCATCTAATTTTGGAGGATGGCCTGTTTTATCAGTTTTACATTTTTTTATTTAAAAGAGAGTTGAGCTATGGTTTAAGGCCAGTTGAGCAGTTAATTATGGCCCCAATATGCATCATATAACCTTCTTTTGGAAAAGATCTGGTGGATCTCAGTAAAGGAATCAAAAAAGAATTTGGTATATTTGTTATGATGGGTTTGGCACCTTTTAGGCAAGAATAAACTTTAATCAAAGCATGCATAATGAAAGTATAAAGCATGTGTAATCAAAGCATGAGCAGTAGGATGACACTTAAGTTTAGAAATTGCTTTTAGGTAATAGCAATTGTAACTCCTTGGCTCTCAGGTCCTTTTGCTGATGGACATTACATAAATTTTTGTTTACCATTTCACTGATGACCTCATGTTGATTTGACTTGAGTCTCTTGTCTGGAGCACAAGAAAAAGGCAAATGTCTGGATCTGAAATAAAATATATATCATCATAAACAACCCCAATTTTATAGTTGAAGACATGAATATACCATCAGATCAACAACAATGAATTGTCTTAGT